GTGGTCTCACCAGCGCTGAGCACAGGGGCACGGTCACCTCCCTAAATCTCATTAATGTTGCTTAAACCCCCCCTGTCAATTACAGAATTAGCATAAAAGACGAGCGGAGGACGCTAACGCTAAGCAAGCGAGCGCCTCGCTCCAGCCTGGGAGCGGGGGCCGCAAGGACCCACGCAAGGAGCAGGCAGCTCGCTCGAGCTCTCGCACGTCTCACGAGTGATTTGAGAGACAAGGGGGCTTAAAAAAAAAAAAAAAGAAAAAGAAAAAAACCCCAAACCGGCTAAAATCCTCCCGGGTACAGACTGGGCATCCCCCATCTCCAAACCCGCTCCGCTGTTTGCTCAGCTGCCTCCCCGCAGCCCTACCCAGAGCAAGAGCTAAATAAACATCGCCACGCAACGGGCGCCGCTTCGCTCTTGAATCGGTGGCGACAGACGCTTCCAGCCCGGAGCCGAAGCGCCCTGAAAGCGCCGTTCCGGGCTTGGAAGCAAAACAAGGAGGGTTTCGGCTCACGGCGAGTCGTCGCCGTGAGCTTGGGAGCGTAACTAAGAGACTTCAGGCTTGGATTTGAATACAAAAGCCGTCCACCGATGGCTATCTCCACGTGATCCCGCTGCGCGGGCTTTGGTTACACAACAGGTCGCCGGGCCGGGGGGGGGTTTCAGCTTTCTGAATTTACCCGTTTTCTTGGCATTGTCCCCCAAAGACGAGGCTCGTAAGGGAATACGCAGCACGGGAGTTTAAACCCAGGCGCGCAGCTTAAGGGGGTGTTTGAGCTCTTGCTCTTGCTCAGGTCACGCTCACCCTTCGCTCATCCCACGTGTCCATCCTCAACCTTCTCTGGGTTTGAATACGACGCTGAAGGGGGCCAAAAATCGAGCTCTAATTCAACTACTTTTACCTAGAAGAACAATTCCCCACCCAACGCCCACCGGCATTTCAAGGCAACTGGAGACGAGCACAGCAAGGCGCAGGAGATGTTCCCAGCCCCGGGTGAACATCGCACGGTGAAAAAAAAAAACCCCTTGAGCGACGGTGCCCGAACCGATAAGCAAGATCATATTTCAAGATGTGACCCATTTTTTTTTCTTCTTTTCTCTAAAACTTCACACTGGGGACGTTGGATATTAGATCTGCCGTGCTAAGAACTGCATTAACCTCTTCTCCGACGAGCTTACCGAAGGGCGGCCGCGCTCTTTCCTCACCGAGACACTTTCCACCCGTCTTTACCACAAAACACCCAAGCCCTGGTTTCTAAAAGAGCGGCGCTGTCTGTATCGGCTTGTGCCAGCGAACCCCGGGCACCGGGAGAGCTAAAAATCGCCGCGCGATCGTCACAGGCAGCAGAGGCAGCCGCTGGCAGCAGAAACCCAGCGGAGCCCCTCCAAAACGCCGCCTGTTGGCATCAACCACCACCCCGGGCCGGGAGCTATCCATCCTCCGAGGTTTGCCGTGCCAAGAGGGAAAAAAAAAAAAGAGTTTGGGTTTGTTCGTATTTGAATTTGTGGTCGTTAAGCTCAAGCCTCGTTCCAAAGAGCGGCCCAGGCACGGGGAGCAGTCCAGAGAGCCGGGATTACGGGCTCTTTGATATTTCAATTAAAGACAGAGAGCTTCTCGCTGCAGGGATGTATCCAACATAGGATTAGGTTGAGGAGAACCTAACGAGAAGCTGCTTCAAGGACTTCCAAGACGCTGCCAGAAGCACCAGGTGTCAGTAGGTGGTTGTTTTTCCTAATGCACGAGCAAGTTTTTAGTCTTTGGGAGACCGGTACGTTAGGCTCTGGTGCGAACTCGGGTGGTTGGAGCCTCGCGGGGGCAACCTGGGAGCTGTTTGGGACGGGCTCTGCTCCGGAATAGATAATCCCGTGTGAATAATTTGGAGCTCCACTGATGGACGGGGACCAGCTCGGACCCAAATCCAGCTGGGAAGGAGCCCTTACGCTCCCTCATAACATAAAGCCTACGGAAAACACCAACAGAAAACAGCCGAGGGGCGAACGCAGCTCCCCCGGACCAGAGGTCGCATCCTGCCTTCTGCGCGGCCCAGCGCTGCCAGACTGGACCGGTACCAGCAGCCACGCTCTCCTCCCCTCCTCCA